ATAAGTCGTGTTGTAACTGAAATCTATAAATACACAAGGAAAAGACATATTGGAAAAACATTTTTCTTCTTATTTTTATGAAATCAATAAGATATTAATTTACATCTCAATATTGTGTATAAACGTGTACGAATATAGTATTGTTCATACACTGTAACAATGATTTATTTCATTATTCAAATGCATTTCTATAAAAATTGTATCTTATAACATGTGTTTTTTACTTAATAAATCGACTCAATCGCCATAACATAAATAATTATATAAAACGGAACTGTTCGAATTTAATTTAATTTTACTTTTATGATTATTAACATCGGTGGTAAATATAATTATAAACAGTATTATACATAATAACATATTTTTGACATTGTATGTACATAATTGTTTAACGAGATTTAATAACTCAATAACAACTATTTACAATACCTATCAAAAATTTTATTTTATTACTTTTTTTATTAATCATACGATAAATTCATAGTTCTAAACGATATTATCTACTTTGTATGTAAATAACATTAAATGCCAATTGTAATGTTCGGGCGTGAAATAAAAATCGGAAATAGAGGGTTATATATTTTTTTTTAAAATCATTTTTATAATAGATAACAAATAATATTAAAGATAATATTCGATAACAATATTAATAATTTAATTCCAAAATGAAATTGAATCTCCTTAGCTTCCTTAGTTGGATACATGCCTGATTATATTGATTTCATTAAATTAAAATTAGATTTATTAAGTTACTTACTCAATAACGAAATACACTCGACACTTACTATATATAGCAAAGTGATTTTCATAGGTTTTACATATTTATATTATTATTTAAAAAAATGTTACGTTTAAAGATTAAAAAGTTGCATTTTAAATGATGCAATGCAGTGTCAACTGTAAAGAGAAACGGTCGTTTAATTTCTACAACAATACAAGTTGTCAGGTTTAAGCTGAAAAATTCAATAATCGCATTCTTAAGATTGTGTAGTAGTAGTGACCGAAAACTGATTTTGTTAAACTCTCATTATGAGAAAAACTATTTAAACTTTAACATAAAATATTATAAAAGTATCACGCGATACTACTTTTAATAGTATAACTAAATAATTGTAATATATTTTTTTTTACGTACGTAGACACTTTCTGCATTTAGAAATTGTATCGATAAGTATATATATATATATATATATATATATATATATATTTATGTTATAAAATCTTGAGTACTTAAATTTATTTAATTAAAAGTATTCAAACATTGACAAAAAAACTTGGAAACGTATTTGAAATATTTCCACATTGAATTTGTATTTAAAATTAAATACTTTTTATGTAATTGTATACAATATGTTCACGATAAGAGGTACCAATAAATATTTCGGTTGGGTGACCTTGTATTAAAATGGGTTTTTGGCGAATGAGAGGTAGTACCGAAATATTCATTTTCAGACAAATTGCGCGTGTACAATATAACTTTTTTTTTTTATGGCAACACCATTTTTTTCTACAAACTTAGATGGATATTTTTTTAGAACAATTTTTGTATAAAAAGTTTATATTTTTATTCAAAAAATTTAAATTTAACGATGAAATTTAATATTTACGAATAATTTGTTTTAACAACATTTTAACCGAGTTCAATAAATACACAAAATCATAATAATATGTTCGATGTTGTTAAATAATGGTTTTTCAGATAGATAAACATTTTTATTTTTAAATTCCTTTTATTTTCACCATTTATAATATTTATTATACATTTCATAATACAAATGAACATTTTTTTTTATAGAGATAACCAATTCTAAATACTTATGCTTCTTTTAACGAAAAATTAAAAATATTTTTTTGTGTGTGAATACTTAATCAAACTTCGAAATAAATAAAATACTGTTACCTATACAGAACTGATATTTTATATTTACACCAAAAGATAGTTTGAGAAGTTTTCAAGAAAATTAACGTTTAACGGGGTTATTTAGGAATACACTTTTGAAATTGATTTTAATGTAAAGTTTTTTAAATTTATTTTACAATGCTATTATTATTTAACATAATATTATTAACATCTAATGGTTCTATATTAAATTTGTTCTCTTTTTTTTTTTTTTTTTTGATGTGTAAATTTATGCTGAAATTAAACATAATTTGCATTTAAATATTATATTATAGTAACTAAAAATAGGTCTGAGCAACTCAGTACAAAACTAAAATACATAATATAATTAAAAATTTAAAACAGATGTTCACGGCGATTATAGCATGAATATACAACTGCTATTTATGAATTTAAATGAAAGTGATTAGCATTGATGATACAGAAAGAATATTACTTGTTTAGAATCATAATTAAATTAAATTTATTGCTACACAATAAATAATTATAGTGATATTTATCAGATTCATCAGATAATTTTTTGGGAGAAACTTTGAAAAATAACAATCAATTAATCCTAAGATAATGTATTAATGTATTATACATACAGATCCAATGTCAAATATTTTTTAAATAACAATTTAAGTTGATAGGTTATTAGAGATATTTCATGATCACGTAATCAAATCGAATACTTACGTGCATAGACGATGTTGTGTAAATATTTAATGTAATATAATCTTTTTTCAACTGGAACAAGATTGAGAAAATAACTAGAGTCTCCTGAGTGCCAATCTTATCTTCTGGTGAAAACAAACATAAATATAATATAAATAATAGCTATTTTAGTCGGATTAATGAAATCGTAATTTTAGTAAACTGTATAGAACTGTATATACCTATCATAATACTGTAACTTAAGAGTAAAAGTTCTATCATTTTTTTTTTTTTTTTTTTTAAACGCTCCAACTGTAATAATAATCAAATATTTTCATGTGGCAACATAGGTGAACAAATCACTGACCCATATATAGAGTGATAATTTTACTTGAAACAAATACTACAAACTTTTATTTAAAATGTGTTGTGGAAAGGAAGTAGGAAACGAAATTGCTTGTACGGTGTTATCGCATACGTATATGTATAGCAAAGAATGCGTATTTTAGAACAAGGGGAGTTTGTAAACAGTTAAATCAATACGCATGTGGTCTGGAAGGATATATAACTCCGAGAGCGTAAAGAAATTTAATGACTATTTCCGTAGGTACCGGACCCGAAAATCACGAAAACAGGAAATGTTCACTATGCTGAATTATTAGTAATCGGAAAAATATACGAGTATCTAAATTATATTTTACAAGAATTTCGATAATAGGGAGAGTCCGATCTCAAAAAAAAAATTTAAATTATAGTCCAACCTTTTTTTTTATAAATATGTAATATTACCTACATAGTGCATTAATATTGATATAAGTTTCCGGAAACATGAAACATAATAAATAATGTAATACTTTATTAGGTACATTCAAAAAAGAAGATTTACTAAAAATACTCATCTTTATTTTGGAATTTCAAAATTTTCAGAAAAATAATCCACTAAATAATTTACAATTGAAAAGGAATGTTTTCATTTGAAAAACAGACGTATATTTACTTCATTAAAATACTCATTAAATAACATAAAAATTTCAATAATTTTAAAACATGGTTTTTAAGTATTTTTAAAAATATTACAAGATTAAGATTTTAAGTATATTATCTAATATTGAAGAAGAAAAAACAGTGATCATAATTAGTGAATCATCCTGACTCCTGATCGTTCAGTATATAATGTACTATTTATAATATATATTTTTTAAGACAATAAAATTACATTAGATATTTAAAATTAAATATTTATAAAAAAGTAAAAATAATAATAAATAGAAAATAAAGAAAATAATAGAACACATAGATAATATTCATAGCTTTAAACTTATTTTGAAAATATTTATATTTATACTAAATAATCATATAGATATGTGTGAAATTAAAATATAATTTAATTTAATAAAAGTGAAAACCATAAAATTTAAAAGAAAATAATACAAAAACTTTATAATGTTAGATTATAAATTCATTAACAGAACACTATTTTTATAGTTATAAAAACGAGTTTTAGCTGCATTTAAAATTCATATTTTTAGTTTTTCATAAGCTTTTTATAAAATATTATTTAATTCTAAAATTATAGACATATCATAGATTTTATTAAATTATTTTCTTTGTTTTATAAATATAAATTATGATACATATGTATTATGTATACATTAAAAGAAGAAAAAACATTTTCATTAATATCAAATAATAATATTTTGGTTAAAAAAAAAAAAAAACCACAACTAGTTACAGACCGCGAATATAATTTTTATATCCGATTTCATCAATAATATTTTACTACTTATACTGTAAAGTATGTATAAGAATATTTTTGTCTCACTTATGTAGTCTAGTTAATGTACAGTTTTCTTTATAGGTATTTAAAATTGTTATAAATATATCATTATAAAATATTTTTTTTTGATAACATTTTTATTGATCAAATAAAATATTAGTAAGAATATTATCATAATAATATTACTCACCTATATCTAGTAATACCCACACAACATTAAATTTCATTTATAATTTGATATATGTAAACATATTTTAATTTGTATAATGATACTGCCATTGTTTTTGTAGTATGGTTTATTGGCAAAAAATATTGTCGTGATTACTTTTGTATTATTAATAAATAATTTGAAAAAATATGATAAAATACAGCTACATTAAAAAATTTTAGCTAGATACGTAAAATTTTATCTTGAATATTATTTTGAAAATAATATTATAAGTCAAAAAACTGCAGTTATTAAGCTTTATTTTTAGTGTAATTTTTCATTATATTGACTTTCTCATTTTATTTTGTGACGTGTTTTTTTCAAAAATAATCGATAACTCATTATCCATTCCTCTATCGTTTTAAATAATTCATATATTTTTTTTTATTATGTAATATATAATACACACATATAAATATATATATTATTAATTTTATTCTTGAATACGATTTAAATTATGTATTTATGTGTACTTACAGAACTGCAGAAATATAAACATGCATCATTGATAAATATGGAATAAAATCAGTGAAACGATTACGAAAGTTGTATTGAATCCATGAAAATAAGAATTATTTTTTCATCAAATATACTATTTTGAAAAAAAAATTCTTCCATCATATAATTACTTGGCGGTATGTATTATAGCATATTTAATATGTAGATATACTTAACAAATATTTATTGATTAATAACTCAACCAAATATACAAAATATAGTCCTGCAAGGATTATTAAGGAACTTAATTACAAATTACCAATTGTTAATCGGTATTCCGTATACCATGCGCTATAATTTTGGAGAAATTCTAAGTATATAATTATATTACATAAATAAATTATAATATTCTAATTATAAAATTAATATAGTAGTTGTAAAGTAACAAGTCCACAAAACCTGGCGGAGGCTAATCCGGATTCACTTTTCAGATGAAAAACAAAAGGTGGCATCGCAATCCGATTTTATGTGATTTATTTAATAATAACTTTTGCGATATTATTCGAAATAACAGCAATATTCGAATTCATAACGATCAGTATTATTGTATATTTTTCGGCTCAAGCTATTTTTTTGGTCGGTATTTATTACCTAATATTAACTCTATGGTACCTTCCTTTAACTATTACAGCTATAAATTTAAAAAGGATATCATTTTTCAAAAACATGATAAAATACATACTATCTACCAAAAATACCATGGCTACAACATAAAACGCCTTTTACTTTCTCATATTAGTGTAAATTATATGTTTATAATAGGATATTATGCTACTATAATATATTGTTCATTTTATGCATTGTGCTTTGCCCGTATAAAATACATTGTAATTTTAGTTATGAGTGCACAGATACAAAAATCTAAAGCACATTAAAAAGCAGTCTCGCATAGCTTTTGATAGTATATAGTTACATAAGGTTTCAAGTTTGCTGACTCATCATGTTAAGTATACCAAAGTTCAAATCTGACCTTCATTCAATTCAACCATTTTATTTTTTTCTGCTCCTTCTAATCGACATTTTATAGCATAAATTGTTTGAAATATATAGTTTTATATTGTTTGAACGCAAGAATGTGAATTATGTAAAATTTTCTAAACTGTACTATATAGCTTGTTCATCTCTTGTTAGTTTAAATGTAGATGTTCTTAAATAGCGATTTGGTTCATGACTAAATAAAACATAAGAATCTGCTAGACTAGGTGCTAAAAAACCACCGGAAGTTCAGTCAAATTTACAATTACAATCTATAACTTAAGATACCAATTTAACATCTAAAATTATTAAAATTATTTTGGCATAAAATTTGATTAAAAATTCAGTTTTTAAAAATGTTTTTTTGTTTTTTGAAATTTCTTAATTATAAATAGAGGTAGGAATAATATTCTTTTGCATATTTTTTTTTTTTAGTCTATGCAGTAAAATTTCGGTTTAAAATCTATAAAAGTTATGAATCATATAATTCAATGGCAAAAGTTTTTTTTGCATATTTGAGAATATTTCTAAGTAAGAGAATATTTTGTATAAAAAAGAATATTAGAGAATATATCAATTAATTTTATAGAATTTGGATATTTTGTATTGTATAGATGGAAATTATTAATAATATTAAATACATTTTTAGTCTGTTAGTATTAAGATAATTATAAATGGAATAACAATATGGAATGAATTAATAAGATTTTAAGTTAAACATTTTTTAAAGCTAAATTATAAGGTACTTACCAATAATTGTTTATTTAAATAAATAAATAAAAAAATTATATTTCAGTAAACATATAAAATTGTATCATAATTAATGACCTTTATATTTCAATTAGATTGTATTTTTTTTAAATATAAAAATATATTTTGAATTTATAAGAATATATTACTGTAAAAGTATATTTTTTGCATATTTAACTATAGTTTAAAAAAAAAAATATTTAAAGAATATTATCAATTTTTTAGGGGAATATCAGCATCATATTTTGGCTGTTTTGAAAGAATATTATTCTGACCACTAATAATTATAAACAAAAAATATCTTTCTGCCAATAGTAGTATGCATTTATACATTATAAACAGTTTAATATTCTTGATAATTGTACCAACTGCTTCACTAAATATTTCTTGAGTGTTTATGAAAATTATGATTGTGTCAATATTGTATTCAACAAAATCTACCAAAAGTCATTCACTTTGTTTTGGATGAATCATTTAAGAAATTTTGAATCTTTTAGCTTTTCTAAATTCCGCTTCTATAACTGGTCCAGATTTAATTTCAAACGTATTAATAAAATAATTTTAGATATATATATATTTATATGTATATAATATTAACACAATACATTTACTGTATCTGTTTAATTATCCTTCGCTATTGTTTTTCCTGATACGTATAAAACTAGCTACATTAAAGTTATTCCTAAATCTTTCACAGATCTGTCCAATATAATATTTGGTTATCAGCCACTATCTCTACTTTACCTTATAACTTAACTTTAATTTTTCATGTTTAGTATGTTATAAGTGCACGTTTTAAATATATAATACAAATTTGTTATACGTATATAGGTGTTTATTTCTTTTTATATGTTTATGTTTTTTTACTAGTATATTAAATTACCACCAGTTTACTTCACATTTTATTATTTTAGTGTTAACAAAAGATTGTTTTTATATATAACTGATATAATTGGTTTTGACTCGATTAAAATTAAATACATAAAACCTATGTATTATTATAAGTATTATAAGGTTACAAATAATAATAATTACAATAATAATTGATTTAATACTATTTTTTGTTTTGCGTAAAAGACTGTAACATGTTTGTAGGTCAAAAAGAGTAAGTTATACTAATGGAATATTCATAATTAATACAATATTGAAATCATTTTAATTAGAATCGTATGTATACAATTCGTATATATATATATAGTATACTTAATGTTTTCATAATAGTGTTATATTTTTGCTTCGCGAGTAGAGACTTGTGAATGGCGCAGATAAAATCTCCCAAGATCCACTTCCGAGAATCTAACTTTATGCTACATTACAATATATATATTATGTATGTAGGTATATGTTTATGTATATAATAATATTGTAGTATACTGCAGCTGTACAATATTGTTACCATCTGGTTTTTTTTTCTTTTTTTTTCGCTTTTTACGATCACGCAGCTCAGATTTTATGGTTATATACATTGACGTTTTTAATATTGTACATTGAAATCGTAATAAAATCATTTGTTGATAACCCTAAATAATATGGTCAATTTAATTAAATTATTCAAAATAAAAATGATGATTATTACATTAAATGTATCATAATTTATGATAACTTTACTATTTTAATTGTAGGTATACCTATTATTTATCACACAACATATGTTATAATCGATTGTATTATACTTAAATTAAAATAAGCTCTAGAATATTATTACTATAATTATTTTTTTAATTCATATTTTAAATTAATCAATTATTTTTATTCAAAAAATAATTTGGATCAATGCGTATATTGTATAATTATTTAAAGAAACTTTAAACTTCAAATATTTACAACAAATGTATAAAAACTGTGTAAAATTTACTTTCACAATCATCATAATAAGCAGTATAGATAATTAATATTAAAACCGTGTACAGTTAATAATAGTTTTTAAGAAGACGTTACATTCTTAAATATGTTATTTCCGATCTTACAAACAAGTAACATTTTAAATTTTCTTTCAATAGTTATTGTAAATTAATATTGTTAACTTTGTATATCTTTCGTTAGTTTTTTCAAATGTTTTAATTTTTAAGTAAGTCATGAACATTTTTAAGTTTAAATAATTTACATATTTATTACAACTTGGTTTTGATATTGTTAAAATTGATTTTTATTCACTTTAAAAAATATATTTGTATACTAAAATACAAACAATAAATAATTATGTTGATTTGACTAATAACCACACTAAAAGTTCAATTTAAATAAAATATTTTGTGTATATATTGTATATTTTTTTTTGCAAACACAAAATAATATATACCAATCTATTTTCTACGGAAATTTAAAATAAATATATATTAGTCATTAGACTACATGTCATGCTAATATGCTGTATCTAAATTTGAAAAATATCTTTGGATCTATTGAAATACTTAAATAAATCAAATGTAGATAAAACATAAATATTTTATTTTCCACGATACGTTTGCTTTTAATCGCATACTTAAATACAATTAAACACGTATACAATTTTACACCAATGACCTTGTTGTATAATTAAATTTTTTAAATAAACGGATAGATCATTGTTAACTCTACATTAATTGTTAAATGGATCAAGTTGAATTGAATTGGTGAAACGTTTTTAAATAGTTTTATATAGAAATCCAAAGTTATTGCGATGTACAAGACAAGTATCATAACTGTTAATTATGGAGAAAATAAAAATAATACCGATGCTTGGATACTATAATTTGAATTATGTAGTAAGAAATTGCATTCAAAAATTGGTCTAAATGGAAACTAAATTATGGATTCGTTTGTATTTCAAGATCAATTTTATATGTTGAATAAAATAACTTATTGAAAATAAGAGGAAAAAATATTTGTAAAATAAAATGTATTTTAATATTAAATTTATATAGAAAAAAATGATATCATTATCAAAAAAATGATAAGTTAAAAAGTTCAAAAATTTAATTTAATACAAGATCTTTAATTTTATATTTTCCTTATCATAAAATGTAGCAAATATAAAGACATATTTTTTTTTTTATAATCTTATGAAGTTAAAATAAAGATGACATTTATTTTGTTAAAATATCAAAAATGTATAATATTTTCAATGTATATACATTTTTTAATCGTGTAATATTATGTTCCTCTTATAATTTTTAAAAACTTGTGATATATTAATTATACAACAACTATTTTTATTAACATATCAAGTTAAATTTTACTGAAATTAAATATTTATATAAAAAATAAAGATTTTCGTTAATTATTTAGTGATTCGAAAATGTTATTCATAAGGACTTGAGTAAACAAAAATATTTTAAAAGTAATTAGATACATTTCAAGTTGTTTATACTATCATATTATTTACATTGTTTAACAGTATGTGTCGTTATTGACTTATTATGAACTAATATTG